CCCCCGCAGCTTCGACACGGCGGAGAGCGTGGTGATCGTGGCCTCTCAGAAGCGGGCGCTGGGGGGCCGGGAGCTGCAGCTGCCCTCCATGTCCGTCCTCACCTCCAAAACCTCCACCCAGCGCTTCTTCCTCCGCGTCCTCCAGGTCATCATCCAGCTGCGCGACGACACCCGCCGGGCGCACAAAAAAGCCAAGCAGGCCGGTCGCCTGGGTAAGGACAAAAAAACCCCCCAAAAAAAGGCTGTTATGACCCCAAAACACTTTTTGGGGTGTCCCCCCCCAACCTCTAACGTGTCCCCCCCCAACCTCCCCTGGCAGGTGGCGGGGGCCTGGGGGCGGCTGGCAGCATCCAAGCGGCCGTCCGGCAGCTGGAGGCCGAGGCCGACGCCATCATACAAATGGTACGTGAGGGCCAGAGGGCCCGGAGGCGGCAGCAGGCAGACACGGTTAGCACGGCCGCCCTTCCTCCCCGCCCTCCTCAGCCTCCTCTTCCTCCTCCTCTTCCTCATCCTCCTTCTTCTTCTCTTTCTCGGCCTCCTCTCCCCTCATCCCGCTCCCTCCTCTCCATGGCTTTCCTCCCTCTGCACCCTGCTCCTTCTCGTCCTTCTCGCCCTCCTCTTCCTTCTCCTCTTCCTTCACCATCCTCCTCTTCCTCCTCTTTCTTCTTCTCCTTCCTCCTCCTTCTCTTCCTCCTCCTCTTCCTCCTTCTTCTCTTCCTCCTCCTTCTCCTTCTCTTCCTCCTCCTTCTCCTTCTCCTCTTCCTCTTCCTTCTCATCTTCCTTCACCATCCTCCTCTTCCTCCTCTTTCTTCTTCTCCTTCCTCCTCTTCCTTCTTCTCCTCTTCCTCTTCCTTCTTCTCCTCTTCCTCTTCCTTCTTCTTCTCTTTCACCATCCTCCTCTTCCTCCTCCTCCTTCTTCTTCTCCTTCACCATCCCCCTCTTCCTCCTCCTCTTCCTCCTTCTTCTCTTCTTCCTCCTCCTTCTCCTTCTCCTCTTCCTCTTCCTTTTTCTTCTCCTTCACCATCCTCCTCTTCCTCCTCCTCCTCCTTCTTCTTCTTCTCCTTCACCATCCTCCTCTTCCTTCTCCTCTTCCTTCTTCTTCTCTTCCTCCTCCTTCTTCTCCTTCTCTATCCTCCTCTTCCTCCTCCTCTTCCTCCTCTTCCTCCTCCTTCTTCTCCTTCACTATCCTCCTCTTCCTCCTCCTCTTCCTTCTCCTTCTTCTCCTTCTCCTCTTCCTCCTCCTCCTCTTTCTCTGCCTCCTCTCCCCTCATCCCGTTCCCCCCCCACCACAGCCTTCCTCCTTCTGCACCCTGCTCCTTCTCTTCCTCCTCTTCATCCTCATCCTCATCCTCCTCCATTCCCTTCCTGCGCTGCCTCCTGCCTTCCCCCCACTCCTCCCCCACCCTCCCACGGCCTTCCTCCCTCCTCATCCTCATCCCCCTCCCCTCCACCTTCCTCCCTCCTCCTC